GCTTTATTATCATGGAGGAAAATCTGTCTCTTCTACTAAGGTTGTAGAACAGCTTCCTTCCCATAGCCTCAAAACTGAAGACTGTTCAAGGCAAGGTTAGCCATGGCTTTTTTAAGAGCTTCTGGAATACAGAGAGTCCTACTCTTTAGAGCCCTCTGACATGAATAAAAAAATACTTCCTGTATAAAGGTTGCCATTTAGGTAGTGTTCATTTTAGCTGACATTGTCATGATTTATTCTGTTTTCGTGTGTTGAAACAGTTTGTCTCCAAAGTTTTTCCAAATATTTTTTAACTGTGATAGATGTGATAGTTAAACTTTGGTGTTGCAGATCCTGTGAAGCCACCTGGCAGCTCCTTACAAGCACCAGCTGATTTACCTTTAGCTATAAATACAGCACCACCATCCACCCAGGCGGATTCATCCTCTGCTACTCTACCTCCTCCGTATCAGCTAATCAACGTTCCACCACACCTGGAAACTCTTGGCATTCAGGAGGATCCTCAAGACTACCTGTTGCTCATCAACTGTCAAAGCAAAAAGCCCGAACCCACCAGGTAAGTTATACATGCCCATGTGAGAGACAGAGAGACAGAGGTGTGTGTATATGTGTACACATTAAGATTCTTATCTTTAAACTTTTTAAACCTTGACTTGCAGGTTTGAAAGAAACCATCTATATAGGCATATGTTTCAGGCTTATATTTCAGGTTTACCTTCCCCTATTGATTTCCGATATTCAGGAGATTGTATCGAAGAGACACAATCTCTGCCATCTTTGGCAAAGAACAGTTTTCCCTACCAGGCTCTTTTGGAAATCTGTCTACTATTTTGTAGTCTTTGTTACAGACTCACAGTATTACTTGCTTAACAGATTTCACTGATTTATAAATGGTGATCTTGCTCCATTTCTTATGTGATTGTAAACCAGCCAAGGGTCATCTTTTGTTTCTGAAGAAGGAGAGGAATACCTACTACTAGAAGATTTTGAAAGCAAAACGATTCCATTGCAGTGAGTGTGTTGTGGTTGTTTTGGATCTGTGTGAGAAATTAATCATACAGGTAAAATCCCAATATAGTAAATTCCATGGAATATACAAATTGGATGTTAGTGAAATTTGATCAAATAAATATATTCCAAAAAATTATGAAATGTTTAGTCTTCATAACTAGCAGTGAAGCAGAGCTTACCCTGAGCCTTTTTATTTACTTTTTTTTTAAACAGACAAGGGCTTGCTCTGTTGCCCAGGCTGGAGTGCAGTGGCACCCTCATAGCTCACTGTAACCCCAAATTCCTGGGCTCAAGCATTCCTCAGCTTCCCAAGTAGCTAGAACTACGGGTACATGCCATCACACCTGGCTAATTTTTTAACTTCCTCATAGAGATGAGTTCTCACAATGTTGCCTAGCTGATCTCAAACTCCTGGCCTCAGACAGTTCTCTCGCCTCTGCCTCCTAAAGTACTGGGATTGCAGGTGTGAGCCACTGCACTTGGCCTCTCTTTACAAATTTTTAAGTAGAAAGAAGTATATGGAGTGCAGCATTGACTGAAGGAATCATAAAGCCCTTCCCAAATTCTTGGCTTCTCTAGCATCTCCTTCCCTGCTCCCTTTCCTCTTCTAAGCTATAAGACATTTTAATTGGATCCTCTTTGTTACTTGACGTTGAGTAGTTGGCAGAGTTAAGGCGATAAAAAGAGCCAAGAAGCAATTGTTTTACTATTTTTAAAAGGAGCAGAAAAATGATTGAGAGGCCAATCTCTGCCATTAATAGCTATGTGACAATGAGTGATATCAGTCAGTTGAGTATATTTTATTTATTTATTAATCAGCTGGGGTCTGGATAGAGAGTATATTTCTTTATAGACGAGAAAAAAATTTTTTTTTTTTTTACCAGATTATAATTAAGCATTATTTTATGACAAAAAGATTTTTTTTTTTAATGTGGAAAGTGATTGTTAATGGGCTAGGATTCAGACAAAGCACTTTTTCAAAAATTTTAATGTGGAATTTGTGGAGATTCACAAAATAGTTTCTGTGAACCGTACCCTGAGATGATGGAAACAGCTCACATTCATTCCAAAGCTGGGTTTCTATGTATTTTTTGTAATGGGATTTTACCTGTAAGAGCAGAAAAAAATGTATAAATCAACATTTGTTAATATCAAATTCTAACTTGATTTTGCTTGTTTGCTGTGAGAATTTAAAATTATACACTGGCAACTTTGTTACCTATGCTACTAACTAAGATTTTATTTTACAAAAGTTCACAATTAATTTTTCAATAGCAACTTTTAAAAAGCCAACAGCTAAGTGACTGTTCTCAGTATATTTTATTTTATTTGTTTATTTTTTTAGAGACAGAGTCTCACTCTGTCACCCAGGCTAGAGTGCAGTGGCACAATCTCGGCTCACTGCAACCTCTGCCTCCCGGGTTCAAGTGATTCTCCTACCTCAGCCTCCTGGGTAGCTGGGACTACAGGCACGTGCCACCACACCCAGCTAATGTTTTGTGTTTTTAGTTGAGTTGGGGTTTCACTGTATTAGCCAGGATGGCCTCAATCTCCTGACCTTGTGATCCACTGCCTCGGCCTCCCAACTTGCTGGGATTACAGGTGTGAATCACCACGCCCAGCCCCTATTGTATTTTTATATAGTGTATTTCACTGATTTCACTGGTATTACAGCTTTCCTCTTGCGGTACAACTTATGCTCAAAATCATCACCCAGATATATTTTGCTATCTATATTTTGCAAAAGTGATAGTTAAATAGCAAATATTTATGAGGTAACCACTATGTGCCCAATATTATGCTAGGTACTATGAAGGTACAACCTAATTATATGAGATACAGTCTACTCAGATATAGCCACCTTTGGAGCGTACAAGTAAGATTGTTAAGAAGTAAAAATATGCCAGCATTAAATATTTATAGATGAAGATAATATGTGAGAGTTGCCTTGCAAACTCGTGTTTGTTCTGCAAGACTTTGCTTAGAATGTGCTCCTCTAGGAAGCATTCCTCTCAAACTGCCAAGTTGGCTTAAATATCTTTCTGGGTTTTTGTAGCATCCTGGTTATGCCTTCATATCTTGTTTTATTGCAGTGCTAGAAGCAGCTCGATGTTTTTACTTAATCTCCACTAACTGTAAGCTAGTCAGAGCAGGGAGCTTTGCTTATTACTCATAATTCCTCTAGCTTCTCTTAACTCTGCGTTTGAATTAAATAAAGTACAAATTTTAGAATATGCAAAGGTGCATTAGAAATTCCACGGAGGGACAGTGCAAGTGTTTTTAAGATGGAGAAAACAAAAGCTTCATAGGAAGAGTAGGATATGAACTACACCTGGTTGGTGAGAGAAGAGAAGAAAATCATTAGTAATTTGCGCAAAAATAGCTTGAGAGAAAAGAGAGACCCGAGTGAGTGTGGTGGGAGGAAGATAATGAGGAGGAGAGCCTCTTGGAGGAAGGGTTTGATTTGGAAGTAGTAAGACGTAAGATAGGATGGAGAAGGTGGAGCCAGATTATTTGTAGCCTCAATGTCAAGTGGTTTCGTGTGAGGCCTTATAGTTCCCACACCCTGTAGGGGGCCCTCACTAGGTTTTTCTTTTGAATACATGAGAGGTATAACAACTGTGTTTCGAAAATACTGACCTTGTAGAAGTCTGGCTCCATGAATAGACTGGAAGAGGCAGAAAGTAGAGTTCAGTCATGTACATCTCAACAGGGACAGGGATCTGAATTTGGGATGGCGGCAATGGGAATAGAGCAAGGGAATAAGTGTGTGGCTAAGAAGAAGGGCTTGGTGCCTGCATGAGTGGGGATCGAAGAGAAGTAATCAAGCTGCTTGGGTTTTGAGCCTAGAGAATCTAGATAAAGTAATTTCTTTCATGCAAGGCAGGAAAAGCAGTCAATTTAAAAAGTAAACGGATTTCAATTTGAGGCACACAAGCAAGGTAATAGTGGAGTATCCAAGCAGAAATATCAGTTTGGGAATATGGGACTTGGAGTTTGGTAAGATGACGGAAGTTGTCAGCATTCAGAGAAGAAAATGAAGTTCTGGAAAAGGAGGATGATCTCTAATGGCATGTGTGGTAAAAGGCTAGAGGACTGAACTCTGTTGGCCATTTCCAGGCAGAGAGACAGGAAGAAGGAGCCAGTCAGTGAAGCAAGGAAATTATCAGTGAGGGAGAAGGGTTTTAAGATGGAGGCTTTTAAGATGTTTTTAACATGAAGAAAACAAAAGCACAGTGTGGGTTTTCTGATAGTGAAGGGGGAGACTACAGTGCATAGTGCCAGTTGTTACTAAGAAGTCTGGGAAAGTAAGCCCTTTAAAAAAAAACTATTATAGTTATTTAAAGAAATATTGTTTAAACTCCTATAGGACTGGAAACATGTAGAAGTAGTTCAGGTATCTTGTTTAGCATTAAGGAACTGAGAGTGTGCTTGCGTTGTTAGATTCATCTTGACCTATACCCAAATTTTGTGATAACCTCAAAATGTAGAGGCTGAAAATGTACGTAAATGTACTTCAATGAGATTTCTCAAAGTGAGTTATTGTTGGGAGTTGATTAACTCTGTATCATGTATTTTGATCCTTTTTGTAATGTTCGCTAAATATTTGTTTAAAGTAGTGAAAAGGAAGATACATGAAAACAATTAGATGTCATCTTTTTGTAGGTCAGATTGGCTTTATTCAATACCAAGTAATCGTTAGACTTTTAATTTTACAAAACGACAAATTTGCCACAGGGAGGTTTAAGACCAATGGATCAACTTTATAAACTGTACTAGCACTAGGTTTTTGCATGCTCTTCAGAGGAAATGCTTTTCCTTGTGTCTATGCATTAATCATTGACCTTTCCCAGAGTTTTGTAACGTTTAATTCCAGTGCTTCAGGGATTGTTTTTATGTGCAGATTTAATAGGTGGAGTTGGGGGTGTGGGCAGGTATAGGACGGAATTAGAGAGAATGCTTTTGTTGGTTTTGTGGTGGTGGTGGTTTTGTTGTCTGGTGTCTAATCATAAAAACTGTAAATTTAAACATTTTTGCTTTAAATCCTATGGATCACACAAAAAGTCTAATGAGAAAAGCCCTATCTTTTGATTGCTAAGCTGTAAATATGTTGATCAAAAATGTATTCTTATGTCTTCACCTTGTTTATTCTGTCATTAACAATTTTTATTTAGAACACACACTGATTCTGCAAAATCCACCTCTTCTGAAACAGACTGCAATGATAACGTCCCTTCTCATAAAAATCCTGCTTCCTCCCAGAGCAAACATGGAATGAATGGCTTCTTTCAGCAGCAAATGATATACGACTCTCCACCTTCACGTGCTACATCTGCTTCTGTAGACTCCAGCCTTTATAACCTGCCCAGGAGTTATTCCCATGATGTTTTACCAAAGGTGTCTCCATCAAGTACTGAAGCAGATGGAGAACTTTATGTTTTTAATACCCCCTCTGGGACATCGAGTTTAGAGACTCAAATGAGGCATGTATCTATTAGTTATGACATTCCTCCAACACCTGGTAATACTTACCAGATTCCACGAACATTTCCAGAAGGAACCTTGGGACAGACATCAAAGCTAGACACTATTCCAGATATTCCTCCACCTCGGCCACCGAAACCACATCCAGCTCATGACCGATCTCCTGTGGAAACGTGTAGCATCCCACGTACGGCCTCAGACACTGACAGTAGTTACTGTATCCCTACAGCAGGGATGCCGCCATCACGTAGTAATACCATTTCCACTGTGGATTTAAACAAATTGCGAAAAGGTCAGCTTTAGTTGACTTCTTCTCTATTAGAGGTTAATGATGGAAAATCGATTTGTCTGAATATTTGTTCTTTTAAGCGTAAATATACTATGTTACAAAATATAGTCCATTTTTTTCAGCTCTACAGTTACGTGGAAGGGTATATGTGCATTCATGCTCTGCTGGAAGGGAGAAAGCCTTGGAGTTTTTCACCCCTGAAGAAGTATGGCCTTCGTAATGCCTTCCTGCTTCAGGAAGTGTGTCCTTCTCTCTCCCACTTTCTGTAATCCTGGGTGGATAGGCCCTCTGTTGGGACAGAAGGGCAGGAAATGGACCAGCCACAAAGCCTCTCCAAGTCATACCCTTTCCTGTATTTGTGTGCCATTATGGCCGCTTCTAAGTCACATCTGTTGGGCTCAATTTCCTTCCTTCCTATATAAGCAGTTTTTATGTTGTGTCTAATAGGTGATATTCTGTTCCTATCTAGCCATTATACTTTCTGATTATTTGATTTTTACTTGTGTTTAAAGAGCTGAATCTTCTCTCCCCTTATCACTACCCACTTCACTGATTGCTAGTGGGTATGCTTTCCTATACCGTCTCTTGGAGTCTGTAACCAAAAGTTACAGACCTTGAGAGGAGAAAAAAAATGAATCTGAGTGATACTGAGATTCTCAAAGTCCTAAAAATAGAAAACTAAAGTTTTTAATGCACATATCCTAAATGCTATGTGCTAAAATTTCTGTATTTTGTGGTAGAGTTTTCCAGCTGTCTTCAAGGAGATAAATAGTTAATGTATTTGTGATTATTACTTAAATCAGTGCTTATTTAACCATTCAATAACAATTTTTAACTCCTTTCTTGAAGTGACTGTATAACTTGGTTATAAGTTAGCAAGATGTAAGTTGGGCCCAAGGTGGTGCAAATGATGAGAAAATGGAGGTGTTTCTCTTCATCTTTAGATAACCTGTCTTATCCCTGACTTAGACATTCACTCACACTCAAAATCAGATATTGGTATTGGTTAGCATATGAGTGAGTGTCTGCATTTTCTAGTGGTTTAATATGCCAATTTCAAGATACAATGCTGTGAGCATTCTTTTTAAAATCTGTGTGTGTGTGCATGTGTGTATGTGTATGTATAACGAGAGAAAGATAGGTCATCCTGATGACCCTGAGCGCTGGCAAAGATAGGAAGAAATGTTGATAGTTTCTTCTTTATTTTAGATGCTAGTTCTCAAGACTGCTATGATATTCCACGAACATTTCCAAGTGATAGATCTAGTTCACTTGAAGGCTTCCATAACCACTTTGTAAGTATAATTGATCTTGGCATCAAGTGTATTTCATTGTCTAAATCTTCATAATTAGTGCCATAAGACCAAGTGAGATCATGAAATAAAAGTATGCTGAGATCCATATGAATGGACATGACTTACAATTCTGTTTTCATGTGTGACAAGAGTTTTTGTTTATTAAAATAAATATATGTGTGTTTTAGAAAGTCAAAAATGTGTTGACAGTGGGAAGTGTTTCAAGTGAAGAACTGGATGAAAATTACGTCCCAATGAATCCCAACTCACCACCACGACAACATTCCAGCAGTTTTACAGAACCAATTCAGGAAGCAAATTATGTGCCAATGACTCCAGGAACATTTGATTTTTCCTCATTTGGAATGCAAGTTCCTCCTCCTGCTCATATGGGCTTTAGATCAAGCCCAAAAACTCCTCCCAGAAGGCCAGTTCCTGTTGCAGACTGTGAACCACCCCCGGTGGATAGGAACCTCAAGCCAGACAGAAAAGGTAAGGAGAGCATGGCAAAGGAAAAGGCTGGGGAGTGCCAACGTAGATGTATTTTTAACTACCATTCAATCCAAAACAGAATTCAGACTAGAAATTCTGAAATGTTTCTTAGCTCCATAGCCATCAAGTTTTGCAAAGCAGTACTGCCATTTATAAATTAACAATTTATAAATGGTTACTTAAAATGTTTTGTAGTTCCATAGCCACCAGTAAGCAAAGCAGTACTACCATTTATAAATTAACAATTATTATATCACATGTTGATGTGAGGTGATATTTATGTCTTCTATCTCTAGAGCAGAGGTTACAAGCTAAAATACCCACAGGGATTAGTGGACAACTGGGGAGAATTAGAAGAAACTGGACTTCCCTAGCCCCATCTAACAGGAATAACTAACCTCCTTGGCTACAATCCTTTGTTGACTTGTGAAATTATGCACCCATACAGGCAAATCTTCTGGTATATCAGGAGAAGCCAGAGATTTTGGATTTTATAGATATTATCTCTCGATTTTTAAAGTTCTATCAACTAATTTAATTATTTTTAAGAAAACATTGCAGGTGAACCCAAACACTACTGCAAGCTAGATAATGGCCTTCAACTGCTATTTAGTAACCTCTTCTCTAGAGTATATAATATCAAATCAGACTTAAGATGATTAATGCATTTGACATAATTATTTTAGAACAGTGAGACTATATAATCTTGCCATTCTGTTTGTATAACAACTTCTTAAAAGTTACTTTGCCTTTGCTGGCGTGTAAATAAATGCTTCTAGTCTATCATTTTTTTTCATGCTGGCCTTCATAAGTAACATCAAGTTCTAAGGTAACGTAGTTTGTTAAGAAGTCTGCAAAAGAAACTGTTCAGCCAAATGGGATAATATCTACCCAGGATTTTATAATTTGGGTTTAAGTGGTTAAAACATAGACAATTTGATTTGTTGCACCATGCTGTTAGTGTGGCTTAATCTTGACAACCAAGTAAAGTAGCATAAATGTGAGATGTGATGAATGATGCAATACCTGGCTTACTTCAGGGTGTTTCAGCACATTCGAAAAGTCTCATGTGCTAGATGTAGCTTTTTAAGACCACATAATGTTTGCATCAATTTCTCATTAACCTGGGCTTAGATCATTAACATTAGTTCTAATTAAGTTCTAGTTGCAAGTCAAAGAGACTGGGACCCAGAGTATCTTTTAGAAAAAGGCTTTGGTTTTGTTTGTAAGTAAGGATAATCTGCTTGTTTAACAGGGGGTAACCTCCTTCAACAAGGAGATTATCAGGAAGCGAGGCAGTTCTAGGGGACTGTTGTTATGTCCTGCTCTTTCTGTGCATTTCTGTTTCTTGGGAAATCTTTGCGTCTGCTTTGTTCTCTTTCACATCCTTACCTCCTTTTCTGTTTTCTTCCTCAGTATCTTCTACTTAAATGGATTCTGCTTTCCAAGAGCTTTGGCCTCCAGTGCTCCTCCTCTGTGGCCTCAATTCTGCCTCCTAGCTCCTTTTTATGTGCCCTTACAGCTTCTGCATCAGCTTCTCATTTTTACTCACTTTAGATTGCTTAGAGATTATGTGATAGGTCTATGTGTGTCACACCCACAACCACTGAGACTACCCAGGCAGCAGGGCTGTGATTATGGTGTGGATCTCAGAAAGGATGTGAGCATCAGAGCCTTTCTATTGGATCATGTTTCCTTTTGTTTCTCTTTTTCTTTGCCTTCAAATCATTTTAGACACTACTAGTCATTTTCTTTGCATATGATATTCAAAAATATGTTTGGACATGTATAGCTTTATAATTGGTTCACCCAGATCACTAAGGGATTGACATGCAAGTGTCATGAACTGTTTGAAATATTGAAATATCTTTTTTTAATGTTAAACTGGTGCTTTTCCTTATTTTCCCATAATGAATGCATGATAGTATTAGATCTCTACTTTTTAACTCCAAACCTAACAGTTTTATATTTTGAGGTCTCACATAAATGTGGAGGGAGTAAGATTTGGGTGAGGGTACAAAGCTCTTAAGTCCCCTCCTTTGCTCCTCTGCTGGTCTTTTCCCCCTTGAGCTCTATAAAACACAGTTTGAAAACTCCAGCAGTCTGCAAACTTTCTGCAACAGTCTGAACATTAGTTATATTTCATAATTGTGATTCCATGTGGTAAGCATAATATGAAATCAGGAAACGTTCCTGTTTATAAGTTAGAAAAGTCCTAAGATCATAATGATTATCTTTTAGTATCATGTAGCTCTGATATCACTCATGTATCCCACATCATAACTTATTATATATATATATTACAGTATATACTACGTATCATATATACTACATATTTTATAATTATACATCTCTATGTATTTAGTGAAAGTACTATTATTCTAGTACACTAGAGATCAATCGTACTAGTTCTTTAAGTTAACCTAAAGGAACTTAATAGTAGAACAGAACAAAGTAGGTTCTTAGTTATTTCTGGAGATTGTGTTCATTCTTTTAAAATTGAACTGAACCGTTCAGAGACAATTGTGAGTTCATTGGCCAGATTATTTAGTGTATTTACTTAGATACGAAATGAAATAAAAAAGAGCACCCAGATTGAAATACCCAGGTGGTTGTGGCAGAATCAAGAATAGGCTTAGAAGAACAGTAAAAAGGTTCCTAAAGTCATAGTATTCAAAAAAAATTGCTTTTCTTTAGTACTGTTCTACTTTTTAAATAGTTATGATACAGGAGAGGAGGCTTGAGAATGTATTTAACATTACAGGGCAAACTTTGTAAACTCACTTTACAAAGTTATATGACTTCATAAACTCACTTTGCAAAGTTACAACTTCAAGAAAAACATCTTAAAAGCCAAATTCAGATCTCAAAGCAAAGTTTATCCTCAAACACTTAAACTAAAATAATGTCTCATTTGGTTCTATAATTTTTCTCAGTATTTATATCATCAGATAAATCTATTTTAATTTCAAATTTCATGACACCAGATAAATGACTTAATCTATTATTTCAGTATGTCTTATGTAAAACTCATAATAAGCAAATCTAATTCTATAAAATATGGTTTGATGAGTTTCAGAGCTCCGTATAACTAATTCATTCATATGTCTGGTTTTTGAGATTGTCTTTGGAAATATCTACAAGAAATCAGTAACATTCTAGTCTTGTTTATATCCCCAGTGATAGATGTCAGCTGTTGTAGTTTGTGGTACAGATGAGCTTTTCAAATACTTCTGAGTAATTGAAGCTGCAGAAATATATAGATGTTCTGAACACTTAATGTATTATGTTATCTTAGACCCTTTACCTATCACCCAATTCATGATAGCAATATTTTTATCATACTATTTCTGCCACCATAGCATTTGTTCTGAGCCAAGTTTTGCATGTAGTAAGAGAAGTGAAACATATTTTAAACATACTGTATTAAATATTGGGAAAGCAAATGAGTCACTGAAAATGCAGGACAAATTATATTTTGACCTGTTCAATTGAAAATTTTTGTATTTCTGATGGAAAGGGAGTTTTGTAGAGTTTGGGAAATTATCTGTTACAGCTTCTCTTTAAGTCATGACATAAATCTATATTTAATCGCTAAACTTATCTAAGGCCCCCCATCTCTGTCTAGTCTCTGTTTAGCATGATGCAGCAGCTGTGTGAGCCCCACATGCTGTCTCTGTGTTGTTATGTTTGGCCTTGTCCATTCATGCCTTTCTGCAACAGTCTGAACATTAGTTATTGTACTGACTGTTTTTAAAGCCAGTGTGAGGTTTTATATGGTGTTTTTATACACCAGTTTGGTTGAAGTACTTTACTTTCAGTCCTAGATCCTTAATATGGTGTGGGAAGCATACAGAAGACCAATCCCAGGAGTTTCCCTGGGTGACTCTTTTGGCACAGTGATGGATTTGCTGTAAACACTTTTTCAAGAGATCCTTCAAAGTTTCTGAATGTGATTAAAAATTAACATGCTCTTTTTAAATTTTTTTATTGCTTTTTATTTAAATTTTTATTTTAGATTCAGGGGGTGCACCTGCAGGTTTGTTACCTGCGTTTGTTGTGTGATGTTGAGATTTAGGGTATGAATGATCCTGTCTCTCAGAAACTGAACATAGCACCCAATTGTTAGTTTTTCAACACTTTTCCCCCTGCCTCCTTCCACTCTCTGGTAGTCCCCAATATCTCTTGTTGCTATATTTATGTCCATGAGTACCCAATGTTTAGCTCTCACTGGGTAAGAACATGGGATATTTGGTTTTCTGTTCCTGTGTTTATTTACTTAGGATAATGGCCTTCACCTGCATCCATGTTGCTGGAAAGGACATGATTTCATTCTTTTTATGGCTGTGTAGTATTCCATGGTATATATGTGCCACATTTTCTTTATCCAGTCCACTGTTGATGGACACCTAGGTTGATTCCATGTCTTTGCTATTGTAAACACTGCTGCAGTGAACATGTGAGTGCATGTGTCTGTTTGGTAGAAAGATTTGGGTTTTTTTGGATATATACCCAGTAATGGGATTGCTGGATTTCATGGCAGTTCTGTTTTAAGTTCTTTGAGAAGTCTCCAAACTGCTTTCCACAATGGCTGAACTAATTTACATTCTCACCAACAGTGTATGAGCATTCCCTTTTCTCCACAGCCTCACCAGAATCTGTGGTTTTTTGGCTTTTTAATAATAGCTGTTTTGACTAGTGTGAGATGGTATCTCATTGTAGTTTTCATTTGCATTTCTCAGAAGATTAGTGATGGAATATCTTTTCATACATTTGTTGATCACTTGTATGTCTGATTTCGAGAGGTGTCAGTTCATGTCTTTTACCCATTTTTTAATGGATTACTTGTTTTTTGCTTGTTGATTTGAGTTTCTTATAGATTCTGGGTATTAGCCCTTTGTCAGCTCCATAGTTTGTGCGTATTTTCTCCCATTTTGTAGGTTGTCTGTTTATTCTGTTGATAGTTTCTTTTGCTGTGCAAAAGCTCTTTATAGTTTAAT